CGTATCTTGTGTGATGTATACATTTATGTGTGTGTATAGTATGGACACTATACTTACACATACACATATACATGTATACAGCATACATATCTTGACATGCAACCCATACATATAGTATATATGGTATTTTATACATTTTGATATTTTTTGACTTAATATAATTGTATGTGATTGTAGTTGTAATGTAACTTTAGATAGATAATAGTATACTATATATATATTATATATATATTATATATATTATTATAATATATTGATATGCTATGTAGCCGTGTATGTATGTTTTATATTAGCTATATATATATATCATAAGTATATATATATATATATACTATATATATGTGTGTGTGTGGTGATGTGTGAGTGTGTGTTGTGTTGTGTGTGTGCTGACACAGTTCCTTGTGTGTTGTGTGTGTGTGTGTGTGTATGTTGTGGTGTGTTGTGTGTATGTGTGTGTGTGTGTGTGTGTGTATTCATATATATAGGTATATAATTATATAGGTGATTATTTTATATATGTGTGTGTGTGTGTGTGTGTTAGTGTAGACTTGCACTGTGTGTGTGTGTGTTATGTTGTGTGTGTGTGTGTTGTGCTGTGTGTCTATAGTATTATATTAGTCTATATTTCTTTGGGTATATATATGATTAACAATATATAAATATCATTACTTTAATTATTATAATATGGTGATATTTATATTATTTGTGGTCGTTGCTGACTCCTTTCCAGGTTGTGTAGTGTGTTGTGTATGTAATATTTAGTATATATATAATTTTATTAATTTTATACATATATAACTGATAAGTATGGTATATATAATATTATATTGTATGTATATGACTAAAATCTGTATAATAGCTATAAAGTATTATTATATTAATAAGACTTAATAGCCTCTATGTATGTGTTGTATGGATGTGTGTGTGTGTGTGTGTGTGTTGTGTTGTGTGTGTTGTTGTGTGTGTGTGTGTGCGTGTTGTTGCGCCTCATGCATGCGACGTAGATGATGTGTGTGTGTGTGTAGATATTTGTGTAGTGTGTGTGTGTGTTGATGTGTGGTGTACCTGTGTTAATGTACATAATCTCCTAATACATATATATTGTAGGTGATACAATATACATAAATATATATGGTATATTTAATTATATATAGGCTTTATATATATAATATAAAGAGGTATATATATATATATATACGTATACATGTATGTAAGTATATATTATAATATATGTTTATTTATTATATATATAATAATATAATATATTTGGTGTGTTATTAACTTATAATATATACACATAGGAGATATACATGTATACGTTATTACATGATTCTATTTATTAAATATATTTAATATAGTATATATATATATATATATATATCGAATTATATTTTTATACTAATATATATACTATTACGTGTATACTGTATATATATAGATCATAAATACATACGTTATATAGATAGATAGATAGATATACAAATATACAGAGAGAGAGACATTGCACCCCCCGCCCCCCCCCCCTCCTCCTCTACTGATACAACAGATACTCCACCCCAACCCCAAAAAGGACTACTAGTTGCGGTGTGGGGGGGGTGGTGACAACGAATAAGAGCGCTATATAGATCAATTGGAGATAATCTATAGCCGATATTTTACCTGGCATTTCCACACGCATATCCCGGACTGGATCGTTGGGATTCCCACTTCAATCTATGGGGTTAGTGGCAGAGAACTATATACTCCTCTCTGATCGTCATACGATCAGACGCTAACTACCGTCATTCGCTGGCAAAGGATTGTATAAAAAGTAGGAGACAGGAAGCGCAGAGATCTTGCTGCAAGTGGAGCAAGTGGATACATTCCATCTGCAATCTGTTAGACTATTAGGATATTAAATTGATCCCATTTCGCAAGCTTTGATTTGCCATACCTGGGCGTGGCGTTAGGGAAGAGGAAGCGTCTCGTGAATAAACGTGTATAGTTTCATTTGCTTTGAAAACGAACCTAACTCTTCTCTAAAGTTCGTAAATCATTTACACGAGCTCTGTGTCACGTTCTCAATTGAACTATTCGCAAAACTGTTTAGTTTCATTACCTTTCTTGTAGATTAACTTATCAACTTGAATTTCAACCTGGTTCAATTACCAGCGGCGGATGCCAATTTTTAGACAATTTTTTTTTACATTATTTTCAGCAAACTTTTCGTTTAGTTTCTATCATGTGGCTTTGTGAAACCTCGTTGTCAGCCTAGTTCACTCTATCTTTCCGCAGACTATCATACTGTAGTGATTGTTGGCTTTAAAACAGCAAAATGAAAAATAATAGATCATTCATGATATCCCGATTTCTACTATTTCTAGGGACCGTCTAATCAAACAAGACAAAGTACGGATTGAGAGTCTAACAAGTAATATAACACCAAGTGTAAGCAAATATAACTCTTCGGTTGCGACGAAACCGCAATGCGCAGTGACTTGTAATTCGCAGTGCATATGCCTTAAGTTTAGGATCTTATACGCTGGTCATCAACACAAAGTTTTCCTCCGCGGCTGAAACCGCCTTATACAAGGTACAGCAAATACGGATTTAATACAATGCTTTCGGACAGGACTTAAGTTTTTTACCGACAGAGAATCACAATCTGTAATTTCGTACCTCAACGCAATTAACTTTGATATCACTTGGAGGCACTAGATAAACCGTATTAGCCCATTGAAGGAAGTAATTTAGCCATAAAAAGAATAATTGTGTTTAGATTTATTTTATTCGTAGCTGTATTATAAAATGTAAAGACTTGATTATCATTCTCACTCTCGCATATAATTCGTACTTCTTACGGACTCATGTAATAGAATAAGAAAGTAATGAGTATATCACAACCATAGAATTGGATTAATAGAGGAGGACACACGGGTACTCTTCCCTCCCTGCTCCCCGCTTCTCGTTTACCCACCTTACCTTCTCCACCTCTCCCCTAATCCGCCTCCTCCTCTCTACAAGGCAAGCCGCCCAGGCCAGGGATAAAGAAACGTGAAGGCTAAACAAGACTGTCCAGAGGAGTTTGTCTACTTGCCCGCATCACCGCGTCTACAAGCTTTCATCACGACCTGCTGACAGAGATATTATCACCTCTGCTGCTCCTCTATGATCTACGGGTTGCACCCGGTCACCCCCCCTCTCTTCTCCCCCCCCCCCCCCCCTCGTTGCGCACGTCGGGTTGCTGACAGATGCGTTACACAAATGGTGTGAACGTTGTGCTTTGATATGTGTGTATGATCGTGTACTGTATACAATTATGGATATATGTGGTGATATGCCTTGACAATGCAAACAGTACATTATATAACGTACACACACACCACAACACAAACAGAGACCAAACATTTTACTCACCTCTATCATGGATACACACAGAGATTATTATTTGACACCCACATACATGCACACACGCAACACAATACACACACTACCCAATCTTGTATCACTACTAATTATATATAGTATTTATATGTATACGCATATTTTATATCTAGAATTACTACTATTTTCTATATATACTATATTTATTTTTTTACATTTAATAACATATTGTTAGTATTATATAAGTATAATAATATAATATTATATTATATTATACTTAATATATTTATATAGTATACACACCAACACTCTACAATTATATTTACACTTTGGATATACATATATATGTGCGTGTGTGTTGACGTTACGTGTGTGTGTGCTGTGTATGTTATATATTAGTATATATATATAATATATATATATTATATATATATTATATATTCGAAGTATATGATAGTACTAGTATACTATTAATAGAAGTTGAGAAAGACGGGGACAGATGGCATAAAGACAGCAGACATACAGAGAACTAGAGAGATATGTCACACACACTACACAACCACACACACACAAATCACACCACACACTACACACACAACACAAACACACAACAACACACACACACCACACACTCACACACACACACCAGACACGACAACAACACGCACCCACACACATAACTATATGTTCTCTCCTCGTCATCTCTATCCATTATTATAATTATATACTATATATAGTTGATATATAATATTTATATTATATATGTATATATTATATATGTATATTTATATGTACTATATACATGGATAATTATATGTTTATACTAGTTATACTAGCTATTATTTATTGATTATATAATATTTAATCCAGTACATTATTACTACAAAAATAATTTTGCTTATCTGTGATCCTTGTTTACTTATCTTATCTGTAGGTTAGGATCACAATTACTTTTTGGGGAGGACCACTGACGAAAAATGGAGAAAAAGAATTAGAAAACATAATATAATTCGAAAATTTGCATCCTTGGCTCAAGCAACAAAACTATTAAGACATGGACACTGACGAAAATGGGAAAAGAAGAAACAGAAAATAAGAAAAAATCTGCACCATCTCAAGCCCAAATTTCTCTCAATTCCAAGAAACTGTGGAGCTGTTGGGGTGTACGTGCCCGCCGCCCTCCCGTGTTGACTCCAGCTCAACTTGGCGCCTCTTTTCACCATCAACAATATCGCTAATTTCTGTCCCCAAACTTCTTGACAGAATGCAGCTGATTTAGGCGTGGCAGTGAATGGGGTAGCTAGTGCTTTAGGATAGGGACTACGAGCCGATAAATGTAACGAGAATTTCGCTGAATTAGGTTACATGTGGTTCACAACTTTGTTTATAAGATATGGTTGTCCGAAGGATGCCAAGGCGGGCTCAAAATCGTTTCCCGGATGCAGCAAAGATGAAAGGGGTTATTTTTGCAGGTGAGATAATCGAAATGATATTAATTCAACCTTCATTTCGCAACAGCATTTAAAATCAACGAGTCCTTCACCCCGCCCAAAGGACGACGCGATCCCCGACGCCCAGACACCCACTCCCGCCTGCCTTTCGGACGCCTCCGGCCGCGGCGGGGCGTATATTACCTCCGGACCAGACGCCGCGCCAGCTATCTGGACTCTGCTCCTCTCCGGTGTAAGACGTGCCGCTCCTTCGAGACTTTGTGGCGCCATACTTTGTGATTTTAAAAGATACTGAAACTGTTGCCGGCTCAAAGAGAGAGTAATCGTAAGCGGATTAGTGAGATACGTGCTTGGCCGAGTTGCAAATCTCGTGTGACGGTTTAGTGAGAGTTGATTGCTTGTTTCCAAGATGTCGGCGACGCTCATTATCAGCAACAGAAGGTGAGGAGATAAGATGTGGTTCTACGTTTGTGAAAATGGAATCCTGAGTTTTTTTCTCTTTGGTGCATTAGAGTTCGTGAGTGGTCAACACATTTTAGATTTTTCTTTCTAGAGTATTTTCTCAGAGAAAAAAAGAATGTGACAAAAATATTTTTCGTGGTTTGATTTATTTTTTCATGTGATATTGCAAAAAAAATATAAAAATAAAAGTTATTTTAATAATTTCCAATTTTAAATATATGTTGAAGTTACTTTAATATGCTCATATTGCATTGTGTGGCATAATTTACTCTAATAGAATAGTTACGATTAAAAAATAATGATAATAATGATCATTACATGAAAATAATATAAATGTCAGATCTCGAAATGAAAGTATATTATTTTATAGAATATGAACTTTCTGCGCGCGCGGACGAGTGCGAGTGTGTGTGTGTGTGTGTGGTATGTGTGTGTGTGTGTGGTTGTGTGTGTGGTGTGGGTGTCGTGACATGTGTGTGTGTGTGTGTGTGTGTGTGAAGTTGGGATTATAGTCTGACGTTACACTGCATTCATGTGGATTTTTTTTTTTTTTTGCGATATTTGAGCGCGCATGATTATGTCGCTAAACTGGCAGATTAATTTACTATTCTTAAAAGAACAAGAAGAAAACTTTTCTAATATGCTAATAGAATTTGTTGAACATAAAATACATTAGATGTTGTCATCACAGAAAGACTATTTATTAGGTTTTTACAAGATTCAAAACTATATTAAAACAGAGAAAATGACAGGTGAATAGATAACAAAGTACACTTATGATTCGTAGAATGGTGAAGTAAATTTGTTTGTCTTTGCCTATTTACTGCTCTCTCTCTCTCTCTCTCTCTCTCTCTCTCTCTCTCTCTCTCTCTCTCTCTCTCTCTCTCTCTCTCTCTCTCTCTCTCTCTCTCTCTCTTACTCTTACTCTCACTCACTCTCGCTATCACTCTCACTATCACTCTCTATCTCTTTCTGTCTATCTCATCACTCATCATACCCTGTTATTACCATTTCCTCGAAAATAGAAATATATCTCAAGCAGACCCGACACTCATTCCACCCATCCGTTGTGACTGACAGGCTGTGCACAGTGGTGATGGGGTGCGTCCTCCTGGCTCTCACATCCCCCATTGAGGCAATACCCACGATCTTCAACAACGAAGTCTACCCCAACCCCGACACAGCAGGTTAGCAGGTTTCGCTCGTTTCCTTGAACATTAATGCTCAATTTGAAAGTTAGTACGTATGGATTGTTTTCTTTAACATTTACACTCAATTTGCAAGTTAGGAGGTGAGTAGGTTTGGATAGTTTTCTTGAAAATTTATGATTAATTTGCAAGTTAGCAAATTTCGCTCTTTTTCTTTAATATTAATGCTCAATTTGCAAGTTAGCAGGTTAGCAGGTTTTGCTCATATCCTTAAACATTTACGCCCAGTTTGCAAGTTATTTACCTCTCATTTCTGTGTATGGTCTAGTGTTTAGTATCATTTTTTGTGTTTTTTCTAAAGTCTATACGTAGGAACTGTAGAAAATTTAGGATTTATTTCTATTTTTGCGTCCCTTTTCTTTACTGCAAAAAAATGTGTTGCTGATTTTACACAGAGATTGCATGTTTCATTCAGATTTTTTCTTTTTCACTTTATATCGTAAACGAAATATATTTCAAGCCCGTTATCCTCCTGATTCTTTTCCGCTTCGTCCGATTCCTTAACACCTTCCTCTTCCTTACACTAGGATTGGCCTCTCGATCTGGTGAGAAATATGAGCCAGACGACAGACCTAAGGGAGTTTATCATGAAATTTGTTGAGGACGAGAGAATCTGCACGTCAAAAACCCTCCATGAATTGATTGTCGGAAAGGTACGTGTTGAGCGTGTTCGTCTGTGTTTTCATTTATTGTGTTCGATTTCGTGCACTGTCTCGGAACTATTGTTTTTGATTGATATGTATTGTTTGTTGTTTTGTTTTTATTATTGCCGCTGTTATTGTTATAATAAATAGTGATATTGTTATTACTGTGATATTAGTGATAGTAGTTGATTTTCGCATCTTCTACAATTTGTGACGCTCGGAATCTCTCTCTCTCTCTCTCTTTCCCTCTCTCTCTCTTTCCCTCTCTCCCTCCCTTCTTCCTCGCTCCCTCCCTCCTTCCTTCACTGACCCTCCTTCTCCCCCTTCCAGAACACCTCAGACATTTCTGCTCACTTGTGGTGGAACAAGCGGTGTGGAGCCCAGCGCGGCTTCGGCGTCAAGACGGTCTCTCCGCTCTCCGAAAGTACGTTGATCAGATACCGTCGCAAAAGTTCAAATCGTAGAAGTACCTCGCAGACCCCTGACAGTAAGTTGCGTGTCACTGCAAGTAATGTCCTCCCTCAGGTAGACGTAGCTTCTAAGTACACCTACATCTTGTCCGTAAAAATCTTCCAAATGACGAAGATTAGCCGATCACTCTGTTTATTCTTTTTTTAGAGAAGTCCCCGCTAAGTTTTCGGGCGTTTTCTTTCATGCTTTTTAAGTCGTTGAGATAAGCGCTATGAGAAACTCTCATAAGTGACTTACCTTGACCAAAGATTTGTTTTTTGACTTCCTTTTGCCAGTGATGCGCTTCATACGGTGACACCAACATTATTAGCTGGCAGTCGGGTCGAGGTAGAATACATTAACAATAATTAATAAAGTGGAACTGACCGAGTACGATCAGTCACATTTTCGTTTCTGTAGTGTGCTGTTTATTAAACTTTCGTTTGTTCTACAGCTTAACTGTACTTCGCTTTTGCTATTTCCAGTTTCAAACATGCCACAATACTTTTATATAAAATAACCTGATTGTGTTATTGGATTATATACAAATAAAAACGGAAGAAACACTCGTTTTCTTTGTTCAGTCAAACTAATTAGTGAGGTCCTTGTTTTCTTTTCTTTTCTCCCGTCAGTGACCCCAAATGAACGCAAGAAACTCGACAAACTGATAAAGAATAAGAACGTGCAGTGCAAGCCCAAGAAGGCCGTGGTGGAGCTCCCCAACGACGAGAAACCCTTGGTCATGCTGAAACCCTCCTGCGTTTACATCAAGCAGTGCGGTGGATGCTGTGATTCACCCCTGCTGGAGTGTCGCCCCGAAGTGGTCAAAAATCGCAAGTTCAAGGTACGGTGTGACCCAGCCAAGGATTCACGCTATGTAAACTGTAAAGAAAACAACGAAGAGAAGAATAGGATTATGCTCGCATAAGCAACCTTCACTCTCAATATCAGTGCCTTTTCGTTATACAGTGAAAAGACGTCTAGCGCCATTCATCTGTCTCTTGCCCCCCCCCCCTTCGTTGTTTTATTTACACTATGGATCATCATCAGCATTATCATTAACATTATCATTATTTTAATTATCATCATTTTATCCACTAGTAGTAGTAGTAGTAGTAGTGGTGGTGGTGGTGGTAGTGATAGTATCATGCCTGCTATCATTATAATTACTACTAGAAGTGAAAATAATAACTTTCCTCAATTTCTTATAGTCTCCATAGTTTTATTGACACTATTGTCACCTGATTCCCATCGCTAAGTCCTGCCTAAAAATCAGTTAACGTTTCTTTGTCCCAACAGGTCCTCGCCTTCGAAAAGAAAGTAAACAACAAGCTTCGATTCGAAAGTGTTCAGACTCTCAAAACGATCACGGTTCAGGAACACAAGAAATGCAAATGCCAGTGTAAGGTGGGTTTTTTCGCCTGATCTCCATGGAAACGCCCGTGTCTCGCAATTTGTAATTATAATTCTCTTTCTCTCTCTCTCTCTCTCTCTCTCTCTCTCTCTCTCTCTCTCTCTCTCTCTCTCTCTCTCTCTCTCTCTCTCTCTCTCTCTCTCTCTCTCTCTCTCTCTCTCTCTCTCTCTCTCTCTCTCTCTCTCTCTCTCTCTCTCTCTCTCTCTCTCATAGAGCATGGAAATAATGTAATATATTTATCCACAGGAGCGCGAGGAACATTGCACAGAACATCAAGTGTACGATGCGAGTGCTTGTAGGTGCACTTGTCCTGCAGATGTCAGCAAGTCCTGTTCAGATGGAAAGGTCAGTCAATTCAACGAATTTTCCAAATCATTAAGGAGTTTGGTTTTTACGTATCCCTCCCCCAGCACTTTTTTCTAGACCCGGTAGTAGAACAAATTTGTTTAATGGTTATTTTTGGACTTCATATAAAATGTCTTTTCTAGATTTTTATCATTACCGTACGTTATTACTCAAAGACTTAATTTCCAGATTTTTTATTTGCTATATAATATAATTCAAAGGAAATTTCGCCCACATTAACAGTAACAATAAATGACTTTGTATTTGGGGCAGATTTGGGACGAGAGGAAGTGTGCGTGCGTGTGTAGTGACGTCTCCGATTGCACTACTGGCAGATACTTCGACAACAGCACCTGCAGGTACATATATTTCAGTTTTAATTTTGTTATATATCACTTTGAGAGAAATGTACCATTTATATGTCATATTCTAGGCTACAACTGTTCCTTGCTGTAATATTTCTACACAGTATCCTTTGAATGTTTCTACATATCGTATCCCTTGAATGTTTCTACATATCGTATCCCTTGAATGTTTCTACATATCGTATCCCTTGAATGTTTCTGAACCCCTACCTCCTGTAACCCCCTAACATTTGTTCTTGTGTTGCTTTTAGCGGGTGTCATTGTATGTGATCGTCTAACCTTACTATCTCTCACTGTTATAGGTGCGAGGATCCCCAGTATAAAGATGTTTACATCTCATAACCTGAGTGTGAGACACCACGACTCCTCACAAACCTTTACGTTGCTCCACTGACCGTGTCGCTTCCCATCCTTCTGTCAGAGTTGCTCTCTGCTCGTCTGAAACGACCCGATGACCTGGTCGCCAGTACTCGTGGGCCAGGTCACGTTTCAAAGCTGGTGTTGGCTGACCTTAACCCTTCAAAACACTCGTGACCCTAGGCCTGTGGATTAACTTTAGCACCGCTCTTCGACCTTGGTTTTCTTACTAATCCATAAGAAACCTTTTAGAGAGATCATTAACAGCAATAACTACGCTGTGACATTGTCCTAACTTTCAACATTCTAACCTACTTACATCGCTTATTTTTTCTGACTCTGACATTCCAGTCGAGAAAGACGTCAGGTAATATCCTTAGTCACTTAAAAATTAATTCCTATTCCTAGTGTAACATGAATTCTGTCCATTGAAGATCAATTAAAAATCAACTGTGTTCAAATATAATACAAAATATCACTAGTGGAGATTTGACACAACTGGATCACGGGCGACACGGAATGCTCATATGTCCTTGCTGCTCCCTGTGTTCAGTGTCAGGGCTCCCTGTCGTCCTCCCCAGCATGGCTTCTGTAAAGCCAGGATGCGCCCTGGTGCTTAGTGTTGACCACCCAACCACTGTCCGTTGTCCCCTTTCCGGAATGTCTGAGGACTTGACTCGCATGTCGCAGACCGCGATTGTGGCTGAGTTGTCCCGGCCCCACCCCCAGCACACAGCCAAACACACACACACCACACACACTTGAAGCTGAGCACTAGGTAAGATAATATATAGTATATAGTAGATATATATAATGTATAGT